CTTTGTCCATCCACAAGGTGAAACTGCTCGATTCCGGGGAGTATGTATGTGTGGCCCGAAATCCCAGTGGGGATGACACCAAAATGTACAAACTGGATGTTGTCTCCAAACCTCCATTAATTAACGGTCTGTACACAAACAAAACGGTCATTAAAGCCACAGCCGTGAGGCATTCCAAAAAACACTTTGACTGCAGGGCCGAAGGAACACCGGCTCCTCAAATCATGTGGATCATGCCAGACAATATTTTCCTCACAGCCCCCTACTATGGGAGCAGAATCACAGTCCATAAGAACGGGACCTTGGAAATTAGGAACGTGAGGTTTTCAGATTCAGCAGATTTTATCTGTGTGGCTCGGAACGAAGGGGGCGAGAGCGTGCTGGTGGTACAGTTACAAGTACTGGAGATGCTAAGACGACCAACATTCAGAAATCCATTTAATGAAAAAATTGTTGCCCGGCTTGGGAAGTCCACAGCATTGAACTGTTCTGTTGATGGAAACCCACCACCCGAAATAATCTGGATTTTACCAAATGGCACAAGATTTCCCAACGAACCGCAAATTTCTCAGTATATGATAGCAAACAATGGGTCTTTTATCATTTCCAAGACCTCTCGGGATGATGCTGGAAAATACCGGTGTGCAGCAAGAAATAAAGTTGGCTACATTGAAAAATTAATTGTGCTAGAGATTGGCCAGAAGCCGGTTATTCTTACTTATGCACTGGGAACAGTGTACTGTATCAGTGGAGACTCTCTCCCACTGCACTGTGTGTCTGATGGGAGCCCTAAGCCGAACATCAAATGGACTATACCAAGCGGGTATATAATAGATAGGCCTCAAAGTAGTGAGAAATACACACTGCATGAAAATGGGACCTTAGTCATTAAAGAAGCAACAGCCTATGACAGGGGAAACTATATTTGTACGGCTCAAAATAGCGTCGGCCACGCACTGATTACTGTCCCAGTAATGGTTGTAGCCTACCCACCCCGAATTACAAATCGCCTACCCAGGAGCATTCTCACAAGGACAGGAGCGGCCGTTCAGCTCCGGTGTATGGCCCTGGGAATCCCCAAGCCAGAAATCACATGGGAGAGGCCAGACCACTCCTCGCTCTCCATGCCAAATAAAGGGGGGGCTCGGGGACCTGAGCCTTTTCACCCCCGTGGTACCCTCATCATTCAGAATCCCCAAACTTCAGATTCTGGGATCTACAAATGCACAGCAAGGAACTCACTTGGTAGCGATTATGCAACAACTTACGTTCAGGTGATCTGACATGAAATAAAATCGAACAAAGTCAACATCTGGACAGAGTTTATTTTTTGGAAGAAGTTTAATCAAAGGCAGCCAGAGGCATGTAAATGAATTTGAGTACATTTACAATATTAAATTTATCATGGACATGCAAAAAAAAAAAAGACTTGTAAATAAATGCAATATGACTGATAATGATTTTGTTAATTGATCTCCAAACAAACTTTTAACTTAAGGCACTTTTATTTTGCCAACAAAGAACAATGAACATTAAGGTAAAACTGTCCACCATAAAATGACAAATGGCGAATGTATCTGAATTCTTAAGAATGGACTTTTTTCTTTCACTAACAGTTGCCTAGTGTCCAACTTCTATCAATGTTACAAGCATGGCACTTCTTGAGAAGAGAGACAATGGAAAAGATTAAATTTGCAGCCTTGATTGTAAATTTACCATTCTGACGTATAGATATTCTGTGGCTGGTTTAGAAATATTTTAGTAAAACCTAGAGAAAGTAGGTTCTGAATGGTTTTCATTTTTGTTCCCTATTTTTGTGTACACTGAAAATTTTCATTGATGTGGAATACAAAAATGTTTTAATACCTACATTTAAAATAAATGCAGGCTAACTTTTCCACGTGTAAAAAGCAACTTAACACCTACACGTCATTAAAAGTGAAAAGGGGGTTGCTTACTTTGCTACCGAAACTCATTAAAAAGCCTCAAAAATACAATGAAACTTCTTTATCATTTCAAAATCTAACACAGCCATCTTTGCTTTGGAGCTCTTTATAAGGAAAATATTCTGAGGAGGAACCACTGCTTTATGAACATGTTATTTCGTTAAGTGATACTCCTGTATGGGAGAGGAAAAGGGGAAAATCCAGATCTGATATACAAATACATATGATGAAGTTTCATTGTACTTAAAATTTGATAAAACTTACACAAAATGTTGCTTTTTTGTAATTCAATGTGAATTGATTTGGGGGGATATTATGATTCATCTTTTCTAATTCTGGAGGCTGGGAGGTTCCAGTGTAACGTATCCAGAATTTATTCAATTATTTGCCAGTTATTTAAAGTGGAGAAAAAAAGAACATGCCATAGGTCTTGCTCAGATATCTCAGCACACAAAACAGAACTATATTAGCCCCTGCTGATGATTTCAGACATAGGGGAGCTTATTTCATTGTGTTGTCATCACACCAACTTTCAGCGGACTCCACCTGAGAGGTGACCTGACTGCTCTTATCTCTGACGCTGGTACCCTGTGGCCACAGGAGGTGGAAGGATACTCATTCTCACTGTGGTCTCCTCCTGCTTCTGGGCCAAGAGGAGTAAATAAAAATGACAAATGGAAGTTATTAGGAATCAGACTAGAGTGTAAACTGGTATGTCTAAGGGACTCTGATTGCCCAATTACATTCAATTTCCAAGTCTTATTTTTAAGGGGAAGGGAGGTCACCATCTTATCCTAGGATAACTTCCTATCTTACAGAGTAAATTACCAGCTTCTGTCAAAGGATAGGGCTTTCCCTGGTGATCATTTTAATGCAAATTAATGCACTTGCTAAGAAAGAAACCTCTAAGGATGTGGGATTTACGTGGAAGGAAATATGCTAAATAAAACTAGCTTAAAAATTCCAGTTGTTCTCTTTATAATGCACAGGGGTAAGCCAGTCCTAGGTTTTTCCTCAACTTTCCATAGAATCTGAATTATGGGGCCTTACCATGACTTAGCTTTGTCACCTGAAAAGAAAAGGACACAACAAGAAAAAAAGGTATACCCCACAGCTTTCATGTGCAAAATGATCATTAATAAATTAATTTCACTAACTTATGCAAAATATAAAGTGCATACGAATGCTATGCAATTATAACACTCATTCTTGAAACAATATTACTGCTGTTTGCGATGCTGAGCTATAAAAATATACGGTTCAAACTGAAAACTGGCATTTTAAATACCAATAATTCTTGAAAAGGAAACCAGGACGGGACAGGACTCACTCACTAGGCACAACATTCATATTTCGGTTGTTTTGCCAAGGCAATCATTATATGGATATATTACTTGGAAGAAAAATAACTTCATGGACTCTAAAGTATGATTCTCAAGAGGAAAAACCCAAAACCTGATATACAAAAACCAGCTGAAATGTAAAGATTTGTCTTCTGAAAGCAGATAGAGTATGTTAGTGAAAAAGAATGGTCTTTAATGTTTTGGCAAAGTCTTGTCCAGCCCAGAGTAAACATGAAATGAGCAGGCTGGAGTGAAAGATTTCACAGTGTACAAAGCAGTTCACATGGATGTTGCCACAGCAAAGTAAGCGGACATGTATCTGAGGTCATTTGCATGAGTCAAACTTTGCAATGAGTAACTCACCTAGGAAGATATAAATTATTTATATAATGATTTGCAAAAGAAATGATCTCAGGTTGTACTAGCTACATCTTAAAAAAGTAGTTCTACGTGGTTTTGCTCATTATAGACAAATCTATTCACAGTCTGCTCAACTACATTACATGTAAAATCATATGGCAAAAGAAAATGAGTTAACACAAAACATGGGAAAATATCCCCCACATGTTTTAAAATGCCCTGCAATTTTCACATTCAAAATTTTATGCATCTAAATCTAAAAAAATATTATATGGAATACTCTTAAGTTACACAAACGGATAATAATTTACTGTATTTTTCTTTTTTACTCTAATAGGAGCAAATTACCACATACTTGAACAAAGTTAAAATAGTTACTATTTCTTTATAATAAATTTGATGTATAATTTACTTGTGCTTTTTGCACCAATTTATAAATACAGTATATGCAATACACAACCAAGACTGACACCAACATTAATAATTAAATTCAAAATAGCAAATACTTACCATACAAAATAAACAGCACATACATCTTTAGGAAAACCAGAGCCTTCTGGACTCGGGGGCCAGATTCTCTGGAGACCACGTCCAGTGTGAGCGCTGCAGAGTCTCAGGCCAGATGCAAGATTGTTTTTTTTTTTTTACTCTAGTTGGCATAAGGTTCAGGAGAACCAAGAGTCTGTTTTGCCAAATCTGGCAATAAATAATCAGAACAATTCCACGGTGGTTCGTTCGGGCCTTTAGAATGTACACGTTGGACCTTCACAAAGACTCTGGTCGATGCTCTTGCCACTGAAAGCAAATTCGAGTACGGCTACTTCTAAGAGGCTTCCACATATCTGAGGGTGGCTCTCAGAGAAGCCTTGGTTTAAGTTCTTGGTCTAAGAAGTTTAAGTACTAAGCAACAATCTGTTTCAGCACCTTTTGACCACAACGAAAGCAAAGAAAAATCCCTACATAAATAAGAACAAAGTTTATAAAGTGCTTATGAAATTACAAACATTTCAAATTAGAGCAATGCAAATACATGTCCATTTCACCATCAAAGGTGAAAAGATTAAATGGGTTCCTCCCCCGTCAAGATCTGACATGCCTTTCGAAATCAGTAGTTTGGTCCAGCACGGTTTGGGGGGTGGAGGTGGGGGTGGGAAACAACAAGCTTCATCATTAATGAATACATAAATATTTTCAATCTGCCATAATTCATTCTTTCTGGGAGATTCAAAAAAAAAGCACCAATTTCAAAAGATCTGGTACCACGCTCTTCCTGGAGTAGGCCCACATGATCCACATTTGTATACCTACTTCAAAGCTGAACTTAAAAAAAAAAAAAAAAAAAAAAAAACCTAAACCACACCTCCTTTTTCTTTTTGTTTAAATACCTCTAAGTGAAATGTAGCACAAAATATAGGAAAACTTCAAAGAAAGGAAAGAACAAAGGGACACCTCTAAAAGATGACTGATGCGTTAAATTTGATTTTCTATTTTTCAGTGCAAACATAAAACTTTCTGTCTTGTCCTCTTCCAGATTCAGAAGTGTGATGGATGCCCATAGGGAGTCACTCCTTGCTGTGGCTGGTTACCTGATGAGAAAAATAAATTCAAATAAAATTGCAGAGGCAAAATTGTGCCACAGATAGACGCTACCCCCTCGACGCTGCTCTCAGTACCAGCCTCAAGCACAGGGGAACAGAGAGACTGGCCAGGGAGAGGGAGCTAGCCCAGAGCACGGAGGGGTGAGGTCTAAGTACCGTAACTGAATTCATTCCACAGAGGCACCAGCTCTACATCAGAGTCCTACACCTGCCAGCACAAAGCCTTGGAAGAGCAACTGGCCCATCTGAAGTCACCGTCTCTAAACTCAGGAGCCACCCAATACTGACCTACAAGAGGACCCTAAGTAACTGTAACATGTTGAAAGTTCCCAAAACTTCTATAGAAGCAGATCGGAGATTTTAACACGGGCATTGTAAAAAGTGAGAGAGCGGTGCCGTGAAATGGGATAATTTTTTTGCAAATGGCCATTAGATATGTGAGAGAGACGCGTGTGAGAGTGGCTATGTGTGTTGACTCAGGTGTGTGCCTACGCATATGTGCACACGCACGCACGCACACACACACACACACACAGAAAAAGATAAAGACCAGCAGGCACAAAAAAATGACAGCGACTTAGAAATACCTCCTGCTTCCACAACTCTGGGAGACTATGCAAACCCAGAAGCTCCTTCACATGGGTTAGGACACAGAAGGAGACCTCTGGAGTTGTGCAGTGGGTGGCTCAACGTCGTGGCCAATATTCAACAAACGGGGGCTGGCGTAACTGCTAGTATCAAGGGAGCAGAGTATGTTGTGGTTAAGAGGCAGGCTCTGGAGAGGGACCATCTGAATTCAGGTCCCAGCTCTGCCCTTTACTTTCAGCTGAGTGACCCTGGACAAATGAGTCTGAGTCCCTGTTCTTTAGCTGTTTTCTCATCTAGAGTATGGGAAGAGTGATACCTACGCGTGGGGCAGCTGAGGAATTAAGTACATTAATATACGTAAAGTCACGGTGCCTGGGGGTCCTAGGAAGTGTTCCATAAATGATGGATTTAAAAAAAAAAAACTGGATATCATGAGCTCTGGGAACCATAAGAGTAGATACACCCCCAAAATAGGTGCCAGTGCATAAAAGTCATAGGTTCTTATTTCTAAACACTAGGGGGAAAAAAAGCATGTTGTCTCTGCCTTAAAATTATATTCTCTATTTAAATAGAGAATTATATTCTCTATTTGGCTATGTGGAAATATAAACTCTCGAATAAAACAATGAAATTTTAACCACATGTTTAACAGACCACACCTATAAAGCAATAGCTGGAAAAGACCATCAATCAGTGTACATGATTTAACAAATTAAATGAGGCTAAAAGAGGGAAATATTTTTAAAGGAAAGAAGACCTTGGTTATGAGCAGGTAGAGACACAAGGTATAAAGAGGGGCCTTCTCTCTGCCAGGAAATCAAAACGGACAGCAGCCAAGATGGACAGTGAAGACCAAACCCAAGTTACTTACCCCTCAGTCATAACAGGCCCCCTCCTGACAACATCCTCCCAGAGTCCCACCGCTCTCTTTAGGACTAGCTGGCCTTCACTCAGTACCTCAAGCACACAATCTGAGACCCAGAAGAAACTGCCAATCCCACTAGTCTCCTCCGTGAACAGACAAAAAAAGTATATGATCCAGGGGACGTGGGTGGCTCAGCGGTTAAGCGCCTGCCTCCGGCTCAGGGTGTGACCCCGGGGTCCTGGGATCGAGTCCTGCATCAGGCTCCCTGCATGGAGCCTGCTTCTCCCTCTGCCTACATCTCTGCCCCTGTGTGTGTGTGTGTGTGTGTGTGTGTGTGTGTGTGTGTGTGGAAAGGGAAGGAAAAAGGGAAGGGAAAGGGAAAGGGAAAGGAAAGGGAAAAGGAAGGGAAAGGAAACGGAAAGGGAAGGAAAGGGCAGGAAAGGGAAAGGGGAAGGGAAGGGAAAGGAAGGGAAAGGGGAAGGGAAGGGAAAGAGAAGGAAAGGGCAGGAAAGGGAAGGGAAGGGAAGGTAAAGGGACGGGAAAGGAAGGGGAAGGAAGGGGAAGGGAAGGGAAAGGGAAGGGAAAAGGAAAGGGAAAGGGAAGGGAAAGGAAGGGAAAAGGAAAGGGAAAGGGAAGGGAAGGGAAAGGGAAGGGAAAGAGGAAGGGAAGGGAAGGAAAAAGGGAAAGGGAAGGGAAAGGGAAGGAAAGGAAAGGGAAGGGAAAGGGAAAGGAAAGGGAAGGGAAAGGGAAGGGAAACGGAAAGGGAAGGAAAAGGCAGGAAAGGAGAAGGGAAGGGAAAGGGAAGGGGAAGGGAAGGGAAAAGGGAAGGGAAGAATGGGAAGGGGAAGGAAAGGAAGAAAAAGGGAGGGAAGGGGAGGAGGGGAAAGAAGAGATAAAAGAAAGGAAGGAAAGAAAAAGAAAGAAAGAAAAAAATGATCCAGGGAATGGTGACAGAGTTGGCACCGGAATTCAGACTTCCTAACTCCCAGGCCAATATCCTTTTGGGTCACGGGGGGATTCGATTCGTGGGAGCACACGAGCACACTAGCACGCCCGCCGCGCCAGCACCTAGATGGGGTTGTGGGCGTCGCTCTAGAGAGGCGGCACAATTAAAAACAAAAAAAAATCACAGCAGCACAGCAGCCGGAATTACTGGGGACAAACTGCCCTGCTCTGCTGCCTGCGGGCCTGCACGGTTGTCAGAGGGAGAGGACGGTGCAGTGGCCGGGACAGTCACGGCCCCAGGGACCAGGACACGTGCTGGCCTTCCTCCCCGAGGGACTCTGAGGGGCCACGTCCCTCCTCCACCTGCAGGCTTCAGGGCACCTGCCGAGTTGGTCTCTGGACCCTCTAAGCTTAAAGGGCTAAAAAGGGCACCTGCGGTTGCACGGGGGTCTCCCCCAACGAAAAGAGACATTTCCAGGTTCACATGGAACAGAGAGGAAAACAGCTTCTCTGAACTGAAAAAAAAAACAAAAAACAAAAAAAAAACAAAAACCCAACAGTGGGACTTTGGGCAGGGGGTGGGCGGGGCGAGCAGGAAGGCGCCGACTCCAAACCCAAACCCAACAAACCAAACCAGCCTGGACTCACGATGCAGGTGAAAATGGTACCGGAGGAAGGCGACAGAGCAGTTTTTGAGGGGTCGCCCCTTGTTTTGCCGGCTTGTTCCTAATCCCGGGGAGCCACGTGCTCCGCGCCCAGGGGACTTACTGGAGAGCTGCTTCTGGAGCTGCCGCACCAGGGCCGCCGTCTGCTGCTGCTGCTGGGTCTGCTGCAAGCCCTGCCTGGAGAACTGCAATCGCAACAGAGCACAGGAGGGCATGAGTGGGCGCCGGCGTCACAGGTGCGGGGCCCCCCACGCACCTCCATACCTCCCTTGGACAGAGATACCGCCCGGGTCCCCGCCGACACACCTTCACACCTCACCTGGACAGAGATACCACCCGGGGTCCCCCCGACACACCTTCAGCATCTCGCCTGGACACAGATACTGCCCGGGGTCGCCCCGACGCACCTTCACACCTCATCTGCATAGAGACTACCGCCCGAGTCCCCCCGATGCACCTTCACACCTCACCTGGACAGAGACTACCACCTGGGGTCCCCCCGATGCACCTTCACACTTCACCTGGACAGAGATACCACCTGGGGTCCCCCGATGCACCTTCACACCTCACCTGGACAGAGATACCACCCGGGGTCCCCCCCACTGACACACCTTCACACCTCACCTGGACAGACACTACCGCCCGGGTCCCCCCCCCCCCCCCGACGCACCTTCACACCTCACCTGGACAGACACTACCACCTGGGGTCCCCCCAACACACCTTTAGCACTTCACCTGGACAGAGACTACCACCCGGGGTCCCCCTCCCCGGATCTCCCCCACCCCCCGCCTCTGACGCTGAGTATCTGAAGCGCCCGATCCGTTGTAAATGCCCTTCTCCAGGGGCCAGGTAACATTTATTTGAAGGGCCTGGTGAAAGAGTCCTCTCTAGGGGAGGCCCCAGGGCCAAGTACCCTCGTGATCTGCCCTCGCCGGGGGCTGTTAGCATCACACTCTCATACGCCACCTTCACTGGCAACATGAAAGTTCTTGGACCAGAGGATGCGCTCAGCTCCGCAGGCCTCGGCCCGTATGGACAGGGACAGAATCCCGTGGGGCAGAGCAGTGGCCCCTCCGTCCAGGGCTCATCTGGGACTCTGCCCTCCCATCGGATGCAGGAGGAAGTCAGCCAACGCTACCATTTTCTCTGATGCCAACCAAGCAGGAAAACAGCACCTTGCCAGTTTTTTTTTTTCTATTGCCCAAATCAAGGGGGAAAATAAAGCAAAACTCTACCTTTTATTCCCAAGGAAATGTGAGTAAAATTAAAAAGTGCTTCCTTTCCTATTCAGTGGTTTCTATGTTTATTCAGAAATGTTACCTACTTAACAAAAGCCAATATGCTCCTCAGCGGTGTGCTAGGCATTGTCTGTACACATCAGCCCATTTACACCTGACCAGGTAACACCTATTCTCAATCCTTTATCCAAAGTCCTTGCATATATGATTTACTACGACACATCCATAATAAACCCACCAACCAAGGCCTAGGACAGCACCACACAATCAAACACTAAATTTCTGTAGCAAAACACACAACTGGTCCTTGTCTTGCAGGATGAGACTGATGACCACTCAGGTCAGCTTTTGCAACCCAATGAGCTATAAATAAAATTTCCATCTCAAAATAAAATGTCGAGATTCAGTTCGGAATTTAGAAATGGACATAAGGGATTGTGAACCTTTACTACTACTCTCATTTTCCAGCCGAGGGAACGGAGACACCAAAGTGTCCAGTCACCTGCCCGTGATCTCTGGAAGTAATGGGGCAGGGATTCAGACAACACTTTTGGGATTCAGAGCTTCCTATCTTAACCGCAATCCAGCGCTATCTTTAATTGGGAATATTAGCTTCCAAGTACTAATTTACTTGGAAATAATCACAGCATCTAAGGGGTGGGCTGCAAGGATGTCTAATCTTAACTTCTCATTTAATTAACATATTGAGGTGCACAGTGCAGAAATACTTAACATTTATCCATTCAAATACTTAGCTGTCTTCTTTTAAGTTCATTTAAAATCTGCTACAGAGAGAGTAATTCATGGGATAGAAATAGGGTGGTGAGTCCATATTCTGAGGAGCCTTTGCAGTAACTAATACATAGGAAGCCCATGTGCATGGGTGTGTGAGTATGCATGCACACATGTAGGCAGGTATGGGTGCTCTGCTGGGTGGCCTTAAGAGTATCCTCCAGAGGACCTCAAGATTACTGGGGGCATCTGCACAGTTAAAACCATTTTTATGATAATACTAAGGCATTGGGTGTTCTCGCTCTCCTTGTCTCAGGAGTATACAATAGAGTTTTTCAGAGGCTATATAATGTGTGATCTTCCAACAAACGTCTTCCATCCATTCAGACATTAAAAAAAATTCTAAAAAGGTAAACAATGTCATTCTCACGAATGTTTTCCTTTGAAAAATATTCATATTTCCATATTCATTCATTGCTCATAAAAGTGTTATCTCTGGTTAATATGTAATGAGAACTTTAGGATATTAGTAAATATTGGTAATATTTCTGTTTTAATTTCTGATAGAATAAATATTATTAGACATACAAAAGCTCTTTGGGTCCACAGTGATTTTTGAATGAGAAGGAGTTCCAAGGCCAAACACCAGGACCAGTTTCCTTAAGGCCCCCACAGGAAGGAAGTGGTGGGATACGGCTTGCAGTCCCCAGTCTCCTCAGTTGTAGTGTTTTCCTGCCTCTGTTTCTCTCGAGGCCACTCGGATATAAGATTTAACTTGCTTCCGCCTGTATGTGAATGCCAGCAGGTAAAAGATCCAACTGACAATTTCCCTGGGCCCTTGGAGCACCTATGGCCAGGGAAAGGAGAGAGTGTCACCAAGCTCCACATTTCAAATCAAGTCACTGAGCTCTTGCAAAACAACAACAACAACAAAACTGGCTCAAAAAGCAAAAAGCAAAAAGCCATCAGAAGAAATTTAAAGAGTCATCCTCCTAGGCTCTTACCCCAGACTTCCTGAATTTAAATTTCTGGGGCAAATGTGCTAGAAATCTGTATTTTCAAAGGGTTCCCCTAAGTGGCCTGATGGTAGGCTAGACTTGAGAACCATCCCTGGAGTGGAAGCTGGAACTTCTAATTGACCAAAACGGGTCAATCAATACATGAGACAACTGAGGTTTACGAGAAGTAAAATAAGTCTAAAAATCACTATCTGTGTATGGTTAACCTTTCATGCTTAAATCTGGTAAATAAAGAGGAAAGATTTTTCTGCACTTTATCAGTAGGAGGGATGATCACGGTTTTGTTCAGCTCTGTGCCTCTGCAAATGTTAATCTCTCCTCCTAGAAACCCTTCTTTCCCACCTTCATCCTACCCCACAAGCTCCTAAAAATCTGCTTGTCCTTCAAAGGTCAGCTAAGTGCTTACCTACTCCCTTCAGAACTGGAAGAGCAAATCGCTGCTCCTGTATCCTGTAGAGACGCCTTTGTTATTAAATACGGTGTACAACTGCTTCTCTCCCTAATACTCTGGATCTTGCTCCTCTTGGGGTCAGGAGCTGTGCTGTGCTCCTGCTGCAACCACAATGCAACGCACAGAGCTCAACAATGTCCGTCAGGTACAGCCAACTAGCCAACAGGGCGTAGTTACTCTCCACTAAAAACGTTCTCTGCTGAACTCAAAACAATAATTTAAAAATTGATTATGATGGATTCTCACCGATCCCTAAATCCCTATTTTGACAACATGCGCTTATTCAAGAATAGTCAATGTTCCTGCTCAAGCATGACTAGTCATTTCTATTTAAATACATGTCATTGAATCATTTCTCAGAAAAGCTGGGCTCTTCTTTGCAGCAGCAGTGGACACTGACGGTCCTGGGCAGCCGCAGGGCTGCTGAGCGGGTGGTGGGCCTTCACGTTGCCGCAAACCTCATTTACACCTCCTGCCTTCCGAACTGGGTTTTCCTTTACTTATGGATCATGTGTGGGACTTTAGTACCTTCACTGCTATGACATTTGACAAGTCATTTGACAGTAGTTAACCAAATCCAGGCATATTTGGGGGTTCTAGGAACACCAAAGTGAGCAAAGCACAGTTCCTGACTCCTGAGAGCTGTGTCCTAAAACCTGTGATCACACAATTGGTGAGCAAAAGACACGGCAAAGCACCAAGGTAACATTTATTTGAAACCTGCCCTGCCCACGGACAGCATGCAGACCGTTAGGGGTTCCTGTGATGGATGGAGTACAACCCTTTATCAGTATCAGCTCCAGCACAAGGACTGCCGGGGCCCTTCATCTGAGTGCCTGGACAGAAGTACGCACACTTAGGTGCCACACTCAGAAAGGACCAGCAGCAAGAGATTTCAGAGTATTTGGCACGAATTTGTTTGCAGTTTAATTAGTAAGTTGCACGCAGCCATTTAAAAAAATCTGTACATAGTTTTTTTAGAGGAAAAAAATCAAATCTATCTTTCCTCTTACCAGACATCTCCCACAAATGTCTTCCCTATCCCTCCATCTATAAATTACGTCTCCTTTCCATTCAAAAAGGAAAATAAAAATTAAAACATCCAAATTCCTGCAGAGGAAGGTGATAATGGCTCAGTAAATTTCTCTGAAGGAATTTTTCCCATATGAAAAGGAAAATACTACCTAGCTAGTTTTGAATTCTAGAGTCATTTGATGACAATTTTCTCAGTTTCTCTTAATGGAACATATGAATTTTGTAGGAAGACTATAAGACAATTTCACACACAATCTTTAGCTACAAATTAATGCAACTGTTAAAGTAACTACACTTCCTTTACGCATATTTTTATAAGGCATCATATTCAACATAATGTGATACTGACACAATTAATTTAAAAAGCCGACTTTTTACAGTATTCTGTTAGCGTGTTTTTCAGGTCACCCAATTAGGACACCCTGAATTTAAGATGAAAAGAAAGGACACAGCAGGATAATGGAAACTTTGTTTTCCTAAAAGCTAAAAGCAGTTTTAAAGAAAAGATCACGGCCCGTTAAAAACTTTCATGAAGAGTTAATTTAATCATTACAATTCAAAAACTTTAAAGGTTTTTTTCAAGACAAGAACTGTAATTTAGGTTAAAACTAGAAAGGCCAAATATACTTTTCCAGCAAGGGTGCCTAGTGTTTCCTTCCAGATGCTCTTTCATCAGAGACAAGTAAGCAAATGACTTAACTAAGCAAAT